GTATAGCATACATTATACGAAGTTATACGAGACTTCCTGTACCTCGTCGTTCTAGGGGCAGGGCGTTCTCTGCCTCGGCCGGGTGTCTCGGCGTTCGACTTCCGACTCTCCGTCGTTCTAGGGGCAGGGTGTTCTCTGCCTCGGTCGGGTGTTCCCGGCGTTCGACTCCCGATACCCCCTTGCACGAGAGAAGTCTCTCATTGTCTTAGGACACAGCGTACCGGCAACCGTCGTCGACTCAGCAAGGCTCGGATATACGCGGTATCACTTATTTTTTATTACTTTGCTCCGTACCGTACAAAACCGACCGATTAAATAATTTAGTTTGTTTAGATCTACACCGTTTATTCTCCGTTCACAATTAGAATTATACACATGTACTGTCGAAACATTACCTCATCTAACCGATAAGGAATTATATTATTTACTGCCGACATTTATAACCGTTGAGATATTAGTCCGAAACCAAAATACTCATGTACTCGTTGTTACTATTTTTCTTTTATATTATTGATCCAAGTACTCTCATAAAATAAATATTTATTTTCTTTAAGTCATTTCTGTTAATTTGGAATCTCCCGATAAACCACACGAACGAATTCTGGCAAACCGACGAGTTACTCCGCGTCGTAAGAATCCGCTTCGATAAACTACACACCGTCGTAATTCCGCATCGAAAATCCGCATACCGTCGAAAATTCCGCATTATTACGCACCGCCCGTGAGGCGTAAAAATACGCACCGTTACATGGCGCCCGAACAGGGACCGGTTTAAGTTTTAAACGAGACTCCAAATTTAAAGACAAATGAGTACATGGGTAAATTATTTACTTAAAGAACAAGTTGTTGAAATATTAGAAACCCATAACATTGATAGTACCGGGACCTTAGATAATTTAAGAAAAAGACTTCGGTTATTTATTTCGCGAAGGCCTGATCTATTTCAAACCACCGCGGGTAACCTGGACAATATGCCAAAGAGCAATTATTCGGCAAAAACCGACGACGAACCAGTGGAGGAACTGGTTGTCCCACCGGCATTAAGCATAATAGAGCGAGCAAAGCTCCTAAACCAAATGAGGAAATGGGGCCTCCATTTTGATGGCAAAGATCCATTTTCCTTCTTGGAACGGGTAGAGGAGCTCGGCCAGGAATATGGCTTCACAAACAAGCAGCTACTCCTCGGCCTACCGAAAGCATTAAAAGGCAATGCCTTATTATGGTTCAGAAACCATAGGGCCTCGTGGAACACATGGAACGACTTTCGCCAGGACTTTAAAGCATTCTACCTGCCACCAGGATACCCGCGACAGCTCAGACGAGAGATTCAAGGCAGGCAGCAGCAACCAAGCGAGCCATTTGACGCTTTCGCAATAGCATTGCAAACGCTGATGCGACGAGCCGGAGGGTACTCGGAGCAAGAAAAACTAGAACAGATCTATGAAAACATGAATCCGGATCTCCAGCTATATATTCCACTAGAGAATATACACACGCTGAGCGAATTACACGCAAAGGTCGCGAATCTGGAAAAGATTCAACAACGCCAAAAAGAGCGGCGACCAAGGTTCCCCGAGAGGAACAACCGAAATCCAGTCGCCACAGCTACATACAACAAAGATGAATGCTGCTGGCGGTGTAAGCAGCGAGGGCATACCCGCTGGAACTGCAAGCACACACCAAAGAAATTTTGCTCCCAATGCGGGAAAGATGGAGTAATGACTAAAGATTGTCACCCTCCAAAGGGAAATGAAACGCGGGTCGGGGGAAGAGCGACGTACGCCCGGCCCGAATCAAAATAAAGTACACTCCGAGACCGCACGTCCTTCTGAAGATCGAAGGAAAAACCGTTTGGGCTTTGCTTGACTCCGGATCTGAAGCCTCACATCTCAATAGCGAGACCGCTCAACTAATAAAAAGAAAACCGACCACGACGAACGAAATAATTCACTTAGCGGATGGTTCAGAAGTGACCATCAATCAGACTGTCCAACTGTCACTAACAATACCAGGAAAGACAGTTCGTCATGAATTTGCGGTATTACCATCGCTAAGTACGCCCATTCTTATTGGGACAGATCTTTGGACTAAATTACAGATTAATTTACCGCCCCCTCCGGCTCAACCACAAGATAAACATTCGTCTATTGGCTTCGTTACTGCCGCTCCGGTTCCTGACACAGTAAAAGAACCATACAGGCTAAAAGAATTTCTGAGTAAAGAATTACCGAAATTCGAAAGGATTAAGGGCCCCACAGATCTAATCGAACATATGATTCGACTAAAGCCAGGGCCTCCAATAAAGCAGCGATATCGACCACAAAATCCGGCCATGCAGAAAATTATTGACGACGAAGTCCAGAAAATGGAAAACGAAGGCGTTATTGAGGCATCAACCAGTGCCTGGAGTTCTCCGGTAGTCATAGTCAGGAAAAAAGACGGAACTCACCGATTCTGTATAGATTACAGAAAATTAAATGATGTTTCAGAAAAAGACGCCTATCCATTGCCGCATATAACTGCTACCCTCGAGAAATTAAGAGGAGCCCGCTATCTCTCAACTTTGGATCTGAAAAATGGGTATTGGCAGGTATCCTTATCTAAAGAAAGCCGACCAGTTACCGCATTTACCATACCTGGCCGAGGACTCAAGCAATTTCGGGTAATGCCTTTTGGATTACACTCGGCACCCGCAACTTTCCAGAGGCTACTCGACACCGTTATAGGACCAGAGCTCGAACCGCACGTGCTAGTCTACCTGGACGACATCGTCGTCGCTAGCCGAACTTTTGAGGAGCATCTGGGTCACTTAGCCGAAGTATTCCGCCGATTACGAAAGGCTAAATTACGACTCAATCCAGAGAAATGCCAATTCTGCCGTGAAAGCCTAAGATACCTTGGACATATAGTTGACAAGGAAGGCATCCGCACCGATCCAGAAAAAGTGAGCGGAATTACGAATTGGCCAGCTCCAACAACCGTAAGAAAGATACGGCAATTCATCGGAATGGCTTCCTGGTACCGACGCTTTATCGCAGACTTTTCGACTGTCGCTGCGCCTCTTACGCAATTAACACGCAAAATGCACGATGGAAATGGATAGAGAAAGAAGAAGCCGCTTTTCAACATCTTAAAAAGGCTTTGACGATAGCACCGGTGCTTGCCTGTCCAGACTTCGCAAAACCTTTTGTGCTGCAAACCGATGCCAGCACTCAAGGCTTAGGGGCAGTACTCACGCAAAACCATGAGAAAGGCGAGCAAGTTATAGCGTATGCAAGCCGAACACTTAATCCGGCTGAAAAGAATTACAGCGCTACCGAGCTGGAATGCCTTGCTGTGGTATGGGGAATTCGTAAAATGCGTGATTACCTCGAAGGGTATCACTTTATCGTATTGACTGACCATCAATCATTACGATGGTTACAACGTTTAGAATCTCCTACCGGACGACTTGGCAGATGAACTTTTGAATTGCAGCAATACGATTACGATATTCAATATCGTAAAGGCGCACTAAATCGCGTTGCCGATGCTCTTTCCAGAGAACCAATAATAAATGCCGTCAGTCGAACCACCACTTGCCGATGGTACAATAGAATCAAGGCCGCAGTAAAAAATAAACCTGAAGAACTACCCGACTACAAAATAATAAACGGGCAATTATTTCGGCACAAAATTCATGATCTAAACTTCCATGAAACACCAAGTACCGAGCAATGGAAGAAGTGTGTACCGAAGAATCAGCGCCTGTCCGTTCTAAAACGTCTTCATGACGATCCTACGGCAGGACACCTTGGCATCACCAAGACTATAGCCCGAATTGCGCAAATCTACTACTGGCCGGGTATGTTCCGGGAGATCGCGAAATATGTACGCTGCTGCGAGAATTGTTTGGCATTTAAAATAACACAGGAAAAACCAGCCGGAAATTTACACACCGCTCCAGTAATCGCACCCTGGCAACAAGCTTCCGTCGATTTGATAGGCCCTTTACCGCGTTCCAAGCAAGGTCACACATGGCTTTTAACCATACTAGATAGATTCAGTAAATGGATTGAAATGGTTCCATTACGCCGAGCTACCGCAACGAATCTTGCCCGTAAGGTCACAACGTTTAATACCGTTTAATATACCGACACGGCTGTCCTGAGCAAATTATCTCCGATAATGGAACTCAATTTGCATCCCGTCAATTTCAGAATCTTTTAAAAGATTTCGGCATCGAGCACCGAACGACTCCAGTCTACGCACCGCATTGTAACCCCGTCGAACGAGCAAACCGGACCGCTAAGACAATGATTGCTCAATACGTTGGACGGGATCACCGAAATTGGGATGAGCGAATACCAGCATTGCAATTTGCAATGAATACCGCGAAACACGAAGCCACAGGCTTTACACCGGCTTATCTCAATCACGGCCGAAAATTATCTCGACCGCATCCAGAAGACCGGAGTAATAAATGCGAAATAAGAGATCCCGAAAATAGTCGCCGTCAATTAGAAGACGCTTTCGAATTAGTTAAGATACAACTAGCACGCTCCTTTCAAAGACAAGAGCGTCATTATAATTTACGACGACGAAATTGGCGGCCGAAAATAGGAGAACACGTGTGGAAACGTGAACGGCCACTATCCGACAAAGCCGAAGCATTTAACGCTAAATTAGCCCCTAAATACATTGGGCCGCTCGAAATCCGAAAGATTATCTCACCAGTAATTGTCGACCTGCGAGACTCCGAAGGCAGATGGTACCGACAAATACACGTCCAGGGCCTGAAACAAGCACCGAAAGAAATAAAAACAGGCGAAAAATAACCGAATAAAATTTAAGAGCCGACGCCACTGTACCGCGGCCCCCCAGAGCCTACACCGTTGTATTGAAAAAAAAAACAAAAATATATATATATATATTAGAAATAAAATTTTTCACCTGATAAGAAAGGGCCCCCTGAGGCGACACCCGTGGATTTTCAGGTCCCCGAGATGCTACGCCGTTGTAAACAACCCGTTGCTACGCGGCGTACTCAGCGCGGTAACTAACCCCCGAGCGCGCTCCCTCGCGGTACCCGCGAACTTTAGTATAAATAGCGCGACGTCACAAAATTTTTTTGACTTATCTCCTCGCATTACAGCTCGGATAGACGCGCTTATAGATGCGAAATTAAAATGTCCGGATATCAGAATAACGTATCAAAGCTATTCGAAGTTGTCGTAGACAACTATAAAGAAAAAGTCACCGAGCTTTTCGGAGAATGCTCCGACAGCTCGGAAGAAGCAGAAACCGAAGCCGCCAATTGGAAGCGGCTTCCTAAACCAGGGACCACGATACAACGGTCAGACGCCGATCACCGCCGAAAGGCCATATGGCTGACATCACCGCCCCCGATCCAACCAAGGCGACAAGGTGCAAGGGCGGCCTCTCAACACCGCCGACTGACTCCAGACGCTACATCGCCGGCAACAACTCCGGCCACAAAGTCCGACCACACGACGTCCCTGCGCAGAGAAATCCTCCGTCGGGCAATGGAGACAAAAACCATCGTCTCCAGGCCACCCGAGGCGCTAACAGCCACTGCCAGGAAAGCGTGCGCAACAACCAGGAGACCATCTAAAGGTACCGCTACCCGGATGGAAGCAGCAATGAGGAAGCCGCCAGAGGAAACATTGACCACCGCAGCCACCGCCGTCGCCCCCACCGGAGATCCGGCACCGCCGACGCCAGTCCGAGTACGCCTGGACGACGGGACCGTGGTGAGCGTCCCGTATCACGCCGCTCATCACTACCGGAAATACCGGGCTTCTACGCCGACGGGCCGGTGGCTGATCCGGTTCGACCACGCCGGTCAGCCCCGGTCCACTCGCCGACTCGAGGAAACCGCCGCGAAAGCGACCGAAAGATAAATTTAAGCGTTTCGTTTAGTCGTTATTTAAATTATTATTATCGTTCAAGGTTTTTTTTGCGTTAATTAGAATTAATATTTTGAGTTTTTAGCGTTCCAAG